ATTGTATATACCTTTGCGCCCAAAAAACTGCGCGTGGCTCTTTTGCCTTTTTATTCGGAGTTTGATTTTAAGTTGTAAGAGCCTTACTTTTATATCTTTTAAAAAAATTAAATTGGAAAAGAAAATAAGATAAACCAAAATAAAATGTTATTTTACATTTTGTGTAGAAACAGATGTGCTCGAATAAACATAAACATATTTTAAAATAAAGACGTGTTTAATGATATTTGTACCTTCTTCTACGTAACATATTTCATTATTGTCGTTTAAAATTGCGTAATATGTACGTTTCTTTGTAGCACTGTAATTACTGGAGGACTTTGGCAGCGAAATGTACGAAAAGTGCGAGCAGTTTTTAGAGACCGTCTTCCTGAAAAGCATCTCGTAATAATGGCATGTTCTTCCGTGCATATTTAGTTGGTTCCATCCGATTATCACGCCGGTAGAACTATTTATAGATTGATTACCATGTATTACAATCATTCCAACGGCAAATTTTACTTCTTGTGGTCTTAATTCGATTTTATCATAAAAACTTTTATCATAAAAACACCTGATCTGGAAAATGTAAAATCATACTTTAATTGATATTTTTTGTCAAGTAATTCCTGAATAAACTTCTGTGTGTAACAAATTAAATTACAGCTAGTTAAATTAAAAATAATTATAATTATGTATGCATGTAATTGTATGTGTTACCAGGAAAAAACCTCAGAAAGATTTCTTTCTATTATTATTATTATTATTATTATTATTATACAGGTTATATCATAAGTCACGCCCCATCTCTGAAGAATGAATTGACGAAGTTAAAATAAGTCAAAAATAAAGAATGATAAAATTACGTTTGACTTATGATATATCCTGTATATAAATATGTGTCATGTATATTGTTAACGTACCAACTCTGTATCGTATATAGTTTCGAGATTTGTAGGTAGTGTTAATCCCATTACACTTTTTAGCATCTGTAGTGGTGAAAAAAAAAAAAGAATTAAACATATGAACAGAACTCCGATTACAAATGAGTAAATAAAAATTTGTATAATTTTTTAATCTATAAAGCTTGTTTTCATTTTTATTGAGGTTAAAAGTTTTTTTAAGTAGTGTTAATATTAGTAGAAATTAGATATGAGTAGATGCTAACCAATTCAGCTGATAATAATTGCTTTTCACTGCCCAAACCCAGGCAATATTTCTTCTGAAGACAAGGATCCGATAATTTGTTAGTTTTTCTTTTTATGCTAAAACATCTTACAGTTTCTGAACTATTCGTAGCACTGCAAACAATTAAAAGTTATATATATATATATGTGTGTGTGTGTGTGTGTGTATGTGTGATAAAAATAAAAATACCGAAAGATTTAAATAATTTTAAGTCTAATATTATTCTTACTATCTTGGTTGCCAAAATATTGAAAGAGGTTGCCGAGAAATTCTAGGTTTATGTCTAAAGTGTACTGTTTGGTGATGTGTACCAATATCGCAACGTAGACCAAGTCTCCTGGCCACACTATGATATATAATAAGTAAAATTATTTCTTCACCAATTTTATTTTCTAAGACCTGTGCGGGAAATTACAATACAGAAATTAATTAGAGAGAAAGTATTTTTGAGAAATAACATACATAATCATAGCATAATTTGGTCATATTTTTATAATATATTATAATCTATAGTATTTACATTATCTATACATTCGTATTTCACTTCTGGCTGTCTCAATTTTGGTAGTCGAAAATTTGATTTGTTAAATATATGTTCTTTGAGTGTATCCATAATCTGCGTTCCTTCTGCTTCGTTCCAATGATTATCATCGATATTATTGTTTTTCCAATAGGAAAATTTTTCAGCGGACGTCGAAAATATCGAATGGTCGGGATTTTTTTCTCTAAGACGATTCAGTATCTCTAATGCAATATTATCGAGTGACGTTTTTATGGACGAGTAAGATATGTTCTTTTGAGGTTGTAACCATTGTGCCGCAGTAGTAGCCGTCCGTTCATAAAGTATGTGAGTTTGTTGTTCGCGAGATTCTTTGCAAAGTCTGTCCCATTTCTTCCTTATCAAATATCGCCTGAGATAAGTTAACAGTTTTATATTGCAATATCTTTCCACCATATCGCAATCAACTCTTCTGAAAAATTTACATTTTATCTGTGCAATAGGTATGTTAGTCAATGAGATTAATAGCACTTTAATTTATATATATATATATATATATTAAATATATATTTAATCTCAAAATCTATATATATATATATTAAATCTTACTGTGAAGATTGAGTAATCAAGTATTTAATTTCATCAATAAGGAATAAAATGTTTATGCCATTTTCAGGCTCATACATTAGTTTGCGTAAATGTCGTTGTACAATATGTTTGTCTGCTAGACGCTTTACTATATTAAAGAATGAATCAAAGAGTTGTTCATCTGGCATGATGAAGTTACTCATATTATCATAATTTCTATTTATTATATGAGACATGAAATTGAATTGTCTTATACAATTAATGCCTATATCCATAAAGTTTAATTGTTTTTTATCTTTTTGTTCGTTTTTTTGAGACTCCTTCAGCTCATTTACTTTAGACAGCTTGTCATAAAGTTTTTTCGCAGTAGGCCACCTGAAATTAAAACAAAAAATATTTTAATAAATTTTTGAAAATTACACTAAACATTGATGTTGTATTAGTAATAAATTTTTGAAGGAATAAATTTTTTAGATTGCGTAATGTACAGAATTAATCAAAATCTCAATCTTTTTGTTTTAATGCAAAAACTATGCAGTATATAATCTTTAATTTTTTGATTTATATAATTAAACTTTACGCTAACAATATACAATATAATGCATATAATGGACAAAGCAATAAGTATACTTATATTTATATCCTTATTACATAACTACAAATTACTTAACTTTTATATTATTTATATTTATAAAATATCAGTTCATCAAATTAATTAATATCAAATAAAATAATTACTTCGAAAAACCCGCTTGCTTTAGGGAACTTAAGCTTTGTGAACGGAATAAAATGATGAGGAAGCAATGTGACACAATTTTCGACTCGTTATTTTTGTTATGCAGAATGTCCCAAATCTGTTTAAACTGAAAGGATGAATTTAGCGCATCAGAAGAAGAAACTTTTCCATTTAGCACTTTGGTTAAATCTCCAAAATAGCACACTTCCCCAAATCAAAATTTAATAAAAATGAGGTATTGCTATTTTTATACCAGATTCAAGTATTAAAGACATAAAAATCATTGCTCAAACGACAAGAATTACGTCTTGAAACATTATAAGTAATAGAGTATAATATTATACTTATTAAGTAATTCTTATGTTTAAATAATGATTTTTAATGAAATAAAATTACAAATAATTTAGGAATAAGATATTACCTTTGAAAAAACTTTTTTTCCCAAAATTTATCGTATTTGGCTGCCCACCGAAATTGCTTGCACACACATCTGAAGTTAATAATATCCTTAATGCTGATATCATTGTAGCCAAGAATGATGGCTATCATCTCGTCAGATAAGCACATTATCGTAGCCATTATGACAAAAATTCAATAAAACACAAAAAATAATTAAAAGTAATTTAATTATTCGCAACAAATATTTCACGTATAATTAATAATCTTTTTTTAAAACCACACAAAATCTTCTGCGACGTTGTTTTTATGTCTGCTGATTGCAGAGAGCACACGTGTTTTTGTCTTATACGCACTATAAGAGGTTTTTCACGTTCTGCTCACCCTTATTCTGAATTATCTGTAAAACTAAACTTCTCCCACTATACAGTTGGCACGTGACTATGCGCACAAAAGGAAAATTTCTTTGAAGCTCGAAGGGTCTCTCAGGTAATGCATACTTGTCAGAGATTCCTTGAGTTTCAAAGAAGTTTTATCATTTGAAAAAAAAGAAAGTTCTTTTAAAAGAATACAAATGTATATCTGTTTTCTGTTTTTTTACATATGTTTGTAGCATACTGAAATACATATATTTAGAAAACTGTCATATTTGAAAGAGTCCAAAACATCAATTTTTCAATATTTATATTATTTAAAACTTTAAATATTCTTTAAAAATTTTAGACTTTTATATCTCTCGAGAATATTCTTTCAACATTTTTTGAAATGATAAGATATGGTATCCGTGAACTAATAACCTCGCGCGCACGCACTTTTTCTTGTGTGTTTGTTCATTTTAATGTTATTCGATTTTTGCTATTAGGCGCACTGTGTCCTATAGAAAACATATTTAATTAATATTTTGCATTATTATAATTTTTTTATAAAAAATGATTCTTATTATATTAAACCAAAATAAATCTGTATTTCTATTTGCTCTTTATATTCTTTTTTAATTTACATTCTCATTATTTCTTTTATATACTATTTTTTTTTTATTTTATTTTTTTTTATTTTTTTTGTTATTTTCGATGAAATTTCAAGAAGATAAATATGATATTCATATAAATGTTAAAGAATACATATTTATATATCTATATTTATTTTATATATTTTCATTAATACAAAAATATTTTATTATAGATATTATAAGTATTTTAAAATAGAAAATGGAATATTTATTATTTATGTATTTACATTGTACAATAATTTTTAAAATGAATCATATATACATTATCCAGGAAATGAGAACGAGTAATATGTGTATATTAAACATAAAAAACTGATAAACAATTTATACTTTTTATTTACCGCATATGTTATTGGTGCGTCCGTCACCCAAACTTCTTTTTCCTTTGTTGCTTTCGTCTTTTGTTATTTTTTTATGGCACTCACACTTACTTGCGAAGACACGATTAATTATGATTAATCGTATACACAAAGATCGCGAGATACTTTGCATGGCGCTTCCGATCATAGAACAATCACACGAGATACGCACTTTATTATTATTGCGATACAGTTTTATACAGTTTTATTAAAAGTTAATTAATTGTTAATTGTAATAATTAAAATAATAGCAAATTATGTGTCGATAATAGTCACAATCGTGTTTAGAAAAGGAATTTCATACTACTACTTTATTGCCCGAGTGTGTTATTCGTTATGCGAATGACAACAAGATCGAAGCACATAAAGTGCACTATTGTATATCCCACCAAAATCGAATACTATGTTATTGATAATTCGATGCCGAAATATTTTAAGTACTATACATATATACAAGATGAATCACTAGAAAGTGCCTTCTAAGATATCTTCATAGATATTGATTTTAGACAAAAAGATTTAAGATAAGAGTTAAATTATTTTGAAAGAGCTACATTGAATAGTGGACGAGATATTTCATACTTTAATTTGATATAATTTTACATAAGTTATGAAATATCTTGTAAAATATTCGTTTTTTGATTATCTTATTTCAATACTTTTATGCGCAAAATAATGAAAGGAATCAATTGGTGTAAAAAACATATAATTGTTTTTAAGAAAAAAATATGAATTTGCAACGAGCAGCTATATAATATAAAATCGATGAATTCAATGAATTTATATAAATTCATTTTGTATAAATCAACAATTATTGTATGTTGAATAAATAATCAATTTTGTAATGATATTTATATACAGATATCTATCATTTTGTCCAAACATATATACAGAAATTTAAATTGCTTAAAATTGAAATTAAGTCTTGTTATATTAACCATTAATATTTTTAATTATAAATTATATTTTTACATTTTTATACATTATAATCCTGTTATACATTACAGTCATATATGACTTCGTTTTTAGATAATTTCTAAATTCCTTTATATTATTTAATAAAAAGAAAAATATTTGTCCTAACGTAACAAAACATTGATATCAAAGTAAATAAAGCATTTCTTTAAAAATTCAAAAATATTGAAGTAAGACCAATCATCAATAAAAGAATAAGATCGAGGTAGGATCTTCAACTCGGAAATCGACTCCTTGCTCGTGCATTTTGCTATCGTATTGATAATTAATATCATTCAATACACCACGATTTTGGATATTAATATTTCGAGGTTTCACATGTATCATCCTAAAATCTGCAATCACGTTATTTGATCGAGTTTTCATTGATACTATAACAAATGCTTTTACTTACGATATTTTCACTTACGTGTTTTATGTTCGGCTTGAAGCTGACATATTTCGCGTAAAGTCTCGAGATTCCTTATAATTCCATCATACTGCAATCTCGTCAATCGCTTGCAATGTATCAACATGGATACTAATAAATCGTCGAGTAATTCGCGATTATTCCTAAGTTGTAGCATAACTTCGACTGCAGAGGAAAGTATCTTTTTTTATTATTAAATAATATCCTCTCTGATAATTTACATATGTAATGACAGATATAGAGAGCGATTTATTTACCGAAAAATTTAAATCAATTGATTAAAATTTATAAATTTAATAAATTGGACAATTTTAATAAAAATGCATATATTAATATTTAAAAATTCTGAAAAGTGATTAAAAAGCATTTTATGATATACCTAATGTACTTGGATATTGAGTAATTAGCAGATTGATCGTGCTTCTAAAATTCCGAGATCTGCTTTGATCCCATACGTGTCCACTGAACATGTGAAACTTGGCTAGGGGGACACTGGGTAATAGCAAGTAATACATATCCTCATAGTGCGAGATATTCACTGAAAATCATACTTGAAAAGATAAATGGTGCAATAAAATTCTCACATGTTTATCAGAAATGATACAAAATTTAATAGAAATTGGAACAGACTTATGTATTCTTGCGTTAAAAAATAAGTTCTTTTTTATCTTTATAAAAATGTTTTTCACTTAAAAAAAATTAAAATTTATTAATTTAATTAAATACAGTTAATAAAAAAGAAACAAATTTGTCCCAAAAATAGACTGGATCTTAATGCAGATAAAAATATGTTCTCATAGTATAGCAACATTCTGTTATACCTATAATATAGGATACTTGCAAATCGGGACAAGCTAGCACCAAATTGTGCCAAGCAGCATTCGCTATTATGTGTTGTCTAGAATCCGAATCTCTCACAGATATATACAGACTCCTCAGCGTCAATGCTCCACTCGCAAGAGCATTCAGAGCATGATTCGATAAAGCTGGATAGTCTAATTTTAACAAACTTAGAGCGTGGAAACGATTCAGCAAGCGCAAATATCTGGAGAATAATTAAGATTAACAATATTAATATTATAGAAGATAATTAAAATTAATTAATTACGTTTCAAAATAACATAATAATTATTGTAAGCAAATTATCTTAAAATTGTGCGTATGTGACATTGATAGATATTTTTATTTAATATTTAATTTATTTTATCGTGATTATATTGTGTGTATATGTATATGTGTGTGTGTATAAAAAATATTATATTTGCATATTTTCTAATAAATTTTTTTTTTCCCGCTTTTCCGAACCTCGGATTATCATGAGGAGCTTGCCATTCTCTGAAAGCGCCGCGAAGGTCCAAAGAGACTAAGCGTTCGCCAGATCCTTTGGCAACTGTCCCCAACAATCGCAAAACGTCGGTCACACCAAAGTCAACGTTCAGTAAGCTCAGGATCTCGAGATTGCGTTGACCGCTGAAAGTTGAATGAAAAAGAAGGTCAGTTTGTAAAGTCCGTTCGATTACATTAAGATTGATAGGGAAAGGACAGAATTTGATCACCGCAAGAAATTCGCCAGGGCACAGAGCAAAATTCCTCTGTTACCCCATTTGTAGCCGAACACCCAGTTCGTTAATATCAGCTGTCGTAGTTGCACATCTTTAGCGCGCACGATCGCGAGAAAATCGGCACCGGCTTCCGCTTGAGTATTGCGTGTGATTCTCATCTGTCTTGGCAGAATGTACGGCCGTGAAAATGCGAGCTCCAGGCTGCGCATATGCTGTCCATACTTTGCCTAAAATGTTTGACAGTAAATTTATTTATCTTCATCAACAGAATCCGGCATGGACATTAATAATATGACACAATAATGATATTAAAATTACAGACTAAATCAGACATTGATGAGAAATCTCTCTTGGATCTATAGATTCTTCAATTAAATTCTGCAATATATTTGAGAATTTAGAGTCATAAAAAAATAGCAAATTTTTTTTTCGTATTATTAATCAATTCTCTTTTTCTTTTCACTTATCTATTCTATGAGATGACTTAGTTTTTTTCACATAATTTTACTACGTATTAATAAATTTCAAATATTCACCCTTTTCTGTATTAATTTCTTATATTTCTTTGTTTTCTTTGTTTTATTTTTTCTTATTATTTTTTTTTATATACAGTTACTGAAGATGGTCCGAAATGGACCAAAATGTCTAATAAAGTAGCATCTATGACTATTTAGGAGTATTTTTATTCGCGCCTGTAACCCGTGCGTTGACTCTTATTAACCTATCTTTTATTGTTAATGACATATACAGAACCTTGATATTTTTATTTTTATTTTAGTAATTTATATAATTTTTCCAAATTCGATCACGAAGAGAATTCAATTCTGCATACAAATTCTACTACGCAAGTTGTTGACTTAAATTCGCTTGAAAGAAATTTGCCAATCTCTATTGCGGAAAATTTTCTTACGGCTAATTCTCCGGCTAAAGGGAAGTCACCGCGTAGCTCACGATCGATGAGAACTGTGAAGGATCGCCAGAGTACGGGCGAAGATAATGTGCGATTCCATGATCGGCAGACTTGACCGACGCTGACACGATCGGCCCGATTCAAGTGGCCAAATATCTGCGTCAGTATCAGCTCCGGTAGCTGATCCCACATCTCCCAGCTTCAGCTTGGCCCGTCTTCATCTCTCTTTCAGACAGTCGTTAGCCTGAATTACTCTCGGCCGCGCGTTTGTCAGATTTGAGTTTCGTCAATCGCTACTGTCAAAAACAGATTCATTATAAAAGACTGCATTGAAGTGAGAAAGAAATATATTTGCGTGTAATATCGATAGCTGTTATTATTACTGACACCCCTGATATTATCGATCGATCCCGTTTCTAAAAAAGGCTTTGCAAGCCATAATAATTTGCATACGTTTTATATTTTGTGTTGCTCGCTTTTTAAAATATTACTATTTAATAATTTCTTTACAAATCTTTCTGGGGCAAATAATAATAAAAAATTATAAAGCATTTGATGGGTAGTATCTTCGTAGTTATTTTTATATTTATAAATGCAAAATATCGACTTAAAGGCACATTTTTGATATGCTATGCTTCCAATGTAACAATATTAATCTCATGGTTTTAAGACTTTAGATTTGAGATATCTTATGACAACTTTTTTTAAATAAAAAGTACTTATAATTGAATATTTTATATTTTATTTTAATGTAATATTTAGTAAAAATTGTGTACATT